AAAAATCACTGTCGAAAAGCACGAATCGCTTGATTCCTGCATTGCATACTTGGGCATGTATTTTTGTATTGAAAGCAACGTGGCTATAATAAAGTACATCGTTATAAACTTCATATGCTAGAGATTATACAATAAAATGGTATTGAGAGAAATTTCATAACATTATAGTGGCCACTTTTTGAGAATCCTGAATGTAGTTTTTTTTCTATCCACCCGATGAAAACTTGCAAGTAAAATATTATATCATTTTGAATTAAATAAGAAGGAACTGCTAATTCGATTTCCCAGCTTTGACCATCAACTGGCTGTTCTTTCTTAAATTATGTGGCGTGGGTTATTTCTCAGCAAGAATTAAATCTTTACTCTTAATGTAACTGAATAAGAAAACAAAACAAAAACATTATACTTTAAGTGCATTCAGTATTTTAATATGAAATATTTATCTTTCTCGTTGGACGAAGGATCACAGTTTCTATACGATTGTATTCAAACTGCCACATTTGACGTAAAATATTCAGATCTAATTAGGCTGCAATATTTTTGTGCCTGCGATTTTATTACATATACATTGTACAGACATTGGAATAGCCCCCAATAGAAGCGTTGTAAGATAATAATTCTAAATCTTTTATTAAACTTTATGACCCCGTGTGTGAGCGAGACGTGTTGTGACATGGGACCAACGTTTCCCTTCCACAGTGAAATCCTAGAAACACCAGCGCTTCTTCATTTTTTAATTGAAAAGTTCAACGAAGCCACAATGTTTACAGGCGCAGATGGTGGCCTGCCATTTTCCAGTTTCGTGAACATCCAATTACTTTGTCATCCTGCATCTGAAAGCGTGTGGGAAATGTCGCGGTGTGATGGTTTTTATGTAATGAACCGCAAAAAAATATCGCGTGAACAGTGTTTGGTCTGTGCCCGGAGATATGTGTTCAGTTCTCGTGAAAGCTTCACCCCGGTCCACCTCACTTCATTACATCACCTAGCGGTCAATCCAGGGGACACGGGCCTTTCTTCATTATTACAAAAAATGCTCTACATATCTGAACCATACAGATTGGGTAAACCGGCGACAGACCACACATCCCGTCTCCTGGGTCTTATTGCTGCTTTCTTAGTCAATAGAAATAGCAATATAACATTATCTCTTTTTTTTTGCGATTACCGATAAATTCAACAAATGACACAGAGTTTCAGCTTTATTTGCAGCCATTCACCGTGAAATAAGATTTACCAACCATTCAGGTTGCCGTTTTTAATGAGAAGCTGTCCTGTATTGGCCTATCAGAATTGTTTCTGTTTTTATTCATTAATTGTCATGGCTAGTGAATACCGAGCCACGCTTGGTGGTCACGCTTGGTGGTCACCTTTTAACCCCTGTTGTTCGTGAAAGGCAAAATAGAATTTAAACCTTTGGCAAATACTTTTTACACCGAAACAAATATTTGCAATTTCTTCTCTTACTGTTATCATAATATGTGCTATTTTCAATGTAGCTAATTCCCAAGTGAAATATAAATAAGGTGTCTGGGCGTATTGCAATCTTAAGAAATCTAAAATGACTGAAATCGTTGAACTGTAACATTATCAAATATCCTGCTGCCCATACCAATATTCTTTTAAGTGTTTGTTAATACAAAATAATGAAATAAGACGGTCATATGTCTACTTAAAAGGAAATGTGCTTTTTGTCCGTCAAAGCTTTTTACCATGAAATGTCTAAGTTTTTGCTTTTTAAAATGGTTATTTTATTTTCTTTTTCGGGGTACATTTTAACACAAATAATCTATGCTGGTCCATTTCTGAACATAATTTTGCACAAGTATTTACAATGATGTATGCTGTATTCACTTAAATATCAAACAGTCGCTGTACTCCACAATGATAATCATCTGAGATAGCCCGCAGTCTCGAGAATTAGCGTGAAATCAAGCGAGATGACACGAGTGCGGTGTGACAAAAAAATAAAAGTTGACCTACAGACAGAATTCATCCACGTGTATTTTTATGGTTGTTTTCTGTCGCATTGCTGTCTATTGCACAACAACATGATCCCAAATTTTGTTGATTATTTCGTTTTACAACTAATAACTGCTTAATGGTTCATAAACTAACACACATTCAAATCATAAGCATAGTTCTCTTTAAAATGAAGCAAAGAGGACAAAGAAAGATGTACGCCCTTGTACCCCTGAGTTAGGCCACTGATCGTGTGATGTTTGCCGCGTCCAGAACTTATATCTGAATACATCAATATTACGCCAGGAAATCCGCTATTTGTTCTTTTCTCCCGCTATACCCCCAGGATAACTTATTTATATCATTCAAAAGAATCAAGATTTTTCTTTAAGGTTTGTTTATCACAATCAACTGAACAATTTCTTAACGGAACCTTCTTTGTTTGCGGAAATTACACATGTAAGAATGTTATAGAGAATTAGACAGGTACATGTAAATCCAAGACTTCGTCGTCCGTGTTTGGCCACTCAAATAGATCCCACGTAGGACTTGTAACATACGTTGAATTTCTGTCGTATTTATTCTGAAACTCCATGCACAGGGCCTTTTTAAAAGAGGGTTATGAAATGTTAAAAACGATTGTTTAGTATTTTCTCATCTTTTAAAATACATTTCAAAGAAACACGCCGAACATTCTTTCTTTATTGTCTTAAGTGTATCAAGAAAATAAATATACCATAAAAATAAAATAAAATAAATTAAGCAAAAGAAGACTATATATTTATTCGTTTAATTTTAATAACCAATTTACTTGCAACTTTGGTTTTAAAGAATGATACCTACAAATTCTTCTCTTTTACAACAAGTCGTAGGCCTACAAAAGAGGAACATGATTAGGGGTTTAGTTTAAAGTAGATTACATTTCGCAATATTTGGTGAAAAGAAAATTTAATCACGTTCTGAACACCTATTTAGCAGCACATCAAACACAATAACGTACGAAATTCACACCGATTTGGGAACTGGGGGCTCAACTAACACAGCGAAGGCGGCTCCGTGCCGAAGTAGGCCTACTACTACAAGAGATCAACAGGTCGGATTCTTTGATCCATTGGCGGGAAATGATAATAGATATGCCTGGGAAAGTCTGCATGTCTGGGCATGCATAGTGTGTACAGGTTGAAATGAATGGTGGAAACTTTACAGGCACCATTACACGTATATGTGGGCCTATAGGGGACACTGCACTCCCGCTGGCACACACAGAGACGTTCTCAGGTGTTCCAACCGCTTTTTTTTTCAGATGAACGATTCGCCGAGTGTCCATTCACATGTCATATTGTAAAAGACAGACCTTCTTGAAAAAAGAACTTACTAGCGAAAGAAAGAAGAAAAATAAAATAAAATAAGACGGTTACATTATAAAAAGAAGCATAATTTTTGACGAGTTGCAAGCCCAAGTAGGCCTGCTGAGTAGGCGTAACTGTTACTATCCCATAATCGCACGTTATACATCAATGAACCTAAAGGATAAGTAGTTGCTTCCCTCCACGCCACGTATTGTTCCACAGTTGTGGCGCGGGGCGATGATTACTATAATCGTGGCAACGTGTTACACCTCTTTACGATCTCTGACACTTGGGTTGAGTAGCCGGGCAGCACACCTGTATGCTAAGTAGCTAACGTCAGGAGCGTGCTGTTCGCGTGTTAACATTGACGCGTCATCTGCCAAACATTCGTACGTGGACCCCCATTTCTCGACTCGCGTGCGCAAATTATAGACTTTGATAAAAAAAAATATCCACAACCAACAAGCAATGCCTCTTTCTTGGTCGAGGTACAATAGGAGATCGCACGGAACAATACATTTTACAATTTGAGCGAGACTGTCGTGTGCTGGTATTTAAGAATGCGGGTGGGGAAACGGTGAAAGAATTGAACAGGCGTCCTAATCTTTCCGCCTCATTTCTTTTCAACGTCTGTTTCGATCATTATATCATCGAAGATGCCATATTATAGTGGTTAAACGCTGGCTTTGTCCGCTCAGGTTACAATCCAGGCAGCTAAGTATTCGTGACCAAAATACGTCACTTTCACATATATTAGCCACAGACAAAGCTGGCTCGAGTCCAGGTTTTCGACTTCACCTAAGTAGGCGTTTAAAATTATAAATTGAATCCCTCATAACCATCTGCCACGCGTTATCTAGGTACTGCCATGTTTTTGTGTTTGTTTGTTGTTCAGTACAATATAATGGTCTGGAAAGTAGCCAAATCCGTGAGAGGTGTAAACCTGAACATCTGCCGCTATCCCACCACTAGTGTTGCATCGCTATTAGAGTACAAGCGGCGTTGGGGTCCTATCGTAATGTGCACCGCGAGCTCTAACGACTGTTGCACCTTTTAAACAAATAAACATCCATGCAGGTCAAATTGGTGATTAAGTCACCTTTGTCTGCTATTTAAATCTGATTAAGATAGGCCCACCCCTTGAACGAAATTTTGCCTTTAGAATCTTTCTTTCTGTTATGCCTTTTCTTTTAGCCTATATTATTTTTAAAAGGGAACTCCATATTTACACGTCGTGACGAGTATTCATGTACGACATGCGTATAGACTAGTAGTGCAATCACTTTTCACTTTGCATGCTGTAGTTTCAAAGTTCTCATTCATGTTATCTGGTATTTACATATTCAATAGCATTCCCCAACACCTATTGGTTGCGAGATAGGGCACCTGCCTTGTAGCTCCGCCCACAAAATTTCGCGCCATTTGGCCGATTTACAACTTTCTGTCTCATAGTGCGGCTTCGCTCTAATCCTAATTATAGTCCCTAAAATTTAAAATTACTTGAAATGCCAAACCTGGTCTTGGAAGATATGATAACCATGTAAAAGAAGCATTATGTTTTTTATTTTGATAACAGTTACACAAATATACAGAAAATCTAAGCGTGCGGTTAAACGACCTTCACCCCGTTAAGTAGTTCTTTGACCCGCGTATGGATATATGTCTGAGCTGTCAGCGAACAGTCAAGGGTTTATCAAGTGAGATGCCATTGTATCATCCGCTTTTCCGGTTGTTCGTGTGAACTGTTCACTGCTCAGCTATATTAGCCAAAGTTGGATTTATATTTACTGACAGCAGTACAGAATTTTACAGTGACAGTCTCTGTAAGTATTTTAGGTATACTAAAGGTGTTAGGTTTGAAGGTATATTAAAAGATAAGTTTCACGTGTATGTTTTTAAGTAGGGCAATATGCCGGTTTAAATGGCCACGATAGAGCTACCGGTACACGTTGTTAATCAATACGCTTGTGGGAGTAGGCGTGTTTGGGCGGTTTTTGCGACACGTTGACATAGTAAATTCCAATAAGACGTAGTATTTTATTTTTTTAAAGCTCACGCCAGCATTCACGTTGACTCGACTATTAAAAAAATGTGATTGCACAACTACAGCGAAAGTCATTGGCATTTTGCCGACGGTTCACGCCTCTTCGGTCGATATTAACGTCTAGTCATTCTACTGATTCACAAGCAGTGTTCTTTTTCTGTCTTGCAGTTTTCACAACATGCCAAGAGTACAGATGAAGAAAATGGCACACAGTCTAGTCAAGGATGATTATGAAACGTTTCAGCCCATCTATTTCCAAGATGACAACGAGGACCACCTTCACGCTGGAACGCCAGCTCCCAGCGAGGATATATGGAAGAAATTTGAGTTATTGCCGACGCCGCCTCGGTCACCTCGCCGAGATAGGGAACCGCCTAATATAACTATACCGTCGGATATTAACACAACGGAGTGTCTGTACAAAGTAAGCGAACTTCTGGACGACGATTTCCTCACACAGACCCAGATCATACTGTTTCCTGGTTCAACGGAACAAGGCAGCGAATCCCAGTGTCATTGCCCACCCCCTGCTAAAGAAGACACAAGTGCCCGTTGTCTCGGACTATGTTGCACAAATCTCAAGTCAAAGCTTATTCAGGACTGTATGTGGTCAGGGTCTCAAGACCAGAAGGTAGAGAAATGTGAACCGAGTCTGAAGACCCCAGCTACCGCTCCTAGTGTGGATATCAATGCAAGCACAGACTGTGTCGACCCCACGGCTGTGTTCCCATACCCTATCAATGACAACAGGAGAAGTAAAACACATCACCTGGGGACAGAAACGCCTTCAGATTCAGGTAAGACATGTAATAAAGTTGGGGGATTTTGCATCAGTGCAAGTTACTGCTAGACATTTATGACTGACCTAAAACAGCTTGGGTCAATAATGTGAAAGTCAGAGGTAGTTGATGCCGACATGCTGCAAGCAGGAACCATTTAAATCCCACCAGTATAGCACATCATGGGACCAATTTAAGCAGTTTTCCCATGCAGTCTTTTCTTGCTTATATCGATGTAAAAAGGCATAGGGATTCCTATTAAAGATCAAATATCTTTCTTGCATACAAATTGTAGGTAGTGTAAAGGTGGAGGTAGCATATAGGTGTAGTAGACTAGGAGAGTGTAATTAGGTGAGCTATAAATAAGCACATTCTGAATACCAGACAGTCTGGTCAAAGGAAACTCCACTGTAGGTCTGTGGGGAGAACTTGGGAGAACAGAAATAGTTGTTAAAAAAACGCATGTCACTGTCCTGTCATTCATGAAAGTACTCCCAAGGGCAGGAAATGATTGTCACAACATTGTTACAGCTTGTTGATACAACTTTTTAACATTTGTCAATAGAAAATGATACATTGTTCACAATAAGTTTCATTCAGCATTTTGTCCACAAAACAGAATGTACGATCTTGGCACAAGTTCAAAACTGAGTATGCAGTTGCAGCAGACATCTTCTAGTGCAATAGTCTTTGAAATTGCGTAAGGAAATGAACAGTCTGCTCTGGTGTCCTTAACATGTGATATAGCAGTGTTTGCTGCTGCATAAATGGTCTCTTTAATTTATGGCATATTGCAATAAATGCTCAGTTGTGTGGTAGACAGAGCTGGTGTAATGAAAAATAATATCTGGTAGCCAGCCCATTTGTTTGCAGTGTTCATATCTAAGTGCACGAAATTACTGTTAACGAGCTTACAGTTTAAGCACACAATTGGAAATATTAAATTCCACAAATTACCTTTAGCTGGAATTACTTTCTACAATTGGCCCTTTCTCTTATCTCATTTAGCAGGTAATGGGGCCATTAAGTCATTTAGATTACTGCTCCTAATCACCATCTATCTGCTCTTAGTAGGTGTGATATGACAAAGCATTAACTGTGAAGAAGGGTTCTATGGAGGATAATGGGGGTTCAATCTCTTCTGTTGTCTGGCGTGCCAGTGTAATCCTGTCCTGTTAGGTGACAGCAAGCGGTATGCTCATTGCTGCCCTGTCTTTGTGGCTGGTGACAGGAGTACAAAGGCTCTCTGACCACCAGGTTACTACTGTGTTAGTCGGCTCTAGAACTGTGGTCTGTTTTCAAACAAATGTGAGAGGCAACAGTCCACACATGTGCCTGTGAGATTTATTGCCAAGTGTTCTCCAACTCCATGCTATTTGGGTTTTCTGTGGTGGTCTACAACTTCAAAGAGAGGAAGTGGGTTTGTTCTGATAAGATTCTAGCTCCATGTGCAGTGTAACATTTTTGGTTGTACTTTTGTCCTACACCTGCCCCACTATATTCACTGGTAGTGTCCTAATGGCTCTGCTCAGGTGAGTAATGTGTCTGCACAGTGTGGAGAGGGAATCAGTGCACAGTTAAAACCATAGATGGCAAGCTTTGAAAAAATTGTGTGATATTTGATTCTCAACTTGTGACCGAAAAGTAGGCATTTCAAAATCTTTGTGGTTTTTACATTTTTGTTGTCCTATCCTTTTCTTTAAAAGAAAAAAAAAAAGAAGAAAGATCTTACTCACAAGTGAATGAAACTTGCCATCAGATACTGGAAGCTGTTTAAATATAGATGAGTCAGTCGCTGACAATCTCGGTTTGATTAAATAGTAAGGAAGGTGTGAACACCAGTACTTCCTCACATCACTTGTACTTCCAGACTTCCAGCAGCTGTTTTATTAGATTCTGCTTCCCCAATTAGCCTTGACACTGATCCACTGCTATAGGGACAGGGGGGGCTGGGTACTGACCATAAAAAGCAATGACAGTATTAACTCTGCTCCTACGCCACAATTATAAATCCCCTGTCAGATTAAATTGTGTTTTTGTTGTATCAATCTATGGACTCTCCATCTGTTTCTGCTTATGACTAACTGGTAAGGAATATGTGTTATGTGGTAACTGAGAGACATGGCATCTCCCCTTGGCAAATGTAGATAACATCAACTCAGACAGATTATATAACCATAATGATGTATAGATTGGAGGAAAGATACTTGAAGTACACTGCGTTTTTGTGGCAACAGATCTACTTAGTCTCTATTTATGAACCATGCACTTTCTACCCATGACTTTGAGGAGCAAACATACTTCTATACATCTACCCTAAATACCAACTCCTCATGATCTTAGATAATTTACTTTGAACCAGCAATGCTCAGATCTGTATCTTAGGCATGATGATTTGATATATTGTAGACATACAAAAACATATATACTTTGAATAATTGTGATCACACATAAAATACCTCTGTGTTTGAATCTTGTCATTTTTGTTAAAGATGTAATGAAAAAAACAGATTAATATTTTATATAGTATAAATGAAGATGTTTTAAACTAATATCTATGCCTTTTTATCATTTCAGAGGAAGAAATAGATGTGGTCACTGTGCAGGTGCCCCCACCTGCAACCAGTAGTCGGTCAGTTAAGAAGACGGTGGTCCAAACCAGCACAATACCACAGAGAACATTGTACCCCTCAGCTCTGGACCAACACTCGTACTCTCAGCCCCCCTCCCCCAGGAATACTACCTCCGCCACGTCATTCAGTCTAAAGCGCACAATGCGATCCGTCTCTATGCCAAACTCACCTCAGCCTCAGAAGAAAGTCAAGAGAGAGTTGAGTATCCCGGAGTTGAAGTCTGCCATGCGGAAGCTTCAGGCTACAGGAGGACACAGTTACAGCAAGCACTCTGGCAGTCGGTCCAGCTCTGATAATGAGGAAGGATTTGAAGGTGGTAAAAGGACTCAACACAATGTTCTTGAAAGGAAAAGGCGCGATGATTTGAAATGTAGCTTTTTGAGGCTCCGTGACAGTGTTCCAGAACTGCAAGCACAAGAAAGGGCTGCTAAAGTGGTCATTCTCAAAAAAGCTACAGAATACATTTTAGCCCTGAATAGAGAGGAGAGGAAACGTGAACGAGAGCTCAGTGAAGAAAAAGACAGACATGAGCAGTTAAAAAGGAGGTTAAACTTTTTAAAACAGTCTATATGAGGAGAAAATAACTCATGAAGATGTAAATGTATAGTTTTGGAGGAAAGTAGTTCTTGAGATGACCAGAGGAAAAAAAAAAGTTTCAGATGAAATTTGGCTTTGGCTGGTAACACCAAGAAGTTTTTAAGGTGTGGAAAAGCATTTTTGTTGAAAAGCAGGCATATTTTCATGCTATGCTTCTCACTTATGTTAGGGTTACAACAGTTTCTTCCTATTTTTGTTACTTGTACATAAGTAAATAGTATTTTAAGTTTATTATTCTTTTGTAATGTGCACTCACATCCTCTTGAGCATAAAATTAACAATTTGGGGAGATTGATCAACCATTTGTACATTTGTAAATGTGTATTATAAACAGATCCTATATAAATACCATCTTTTCATTTGTAATTTTAATTAAAGATTGAACCGGTGTGTGTTTTAATATTAGGTGTATGCGGGCAGACACAACCAACTTATCAGTCCTTTTCATATCATTGATTTGATTAGCGGTTCTCATTGGAGATCATTCCTGTTTTTGTTTTTTTTTCTTTTTTGCGTTGAGTTACTGTGTGAAAAAGCTCATCAATGAAATTGATAATTTTGTACTTTATGTAATAAAATAACTTTCTTTTGGCAAATCTATTGATGTTTTTGTTATTTACTATGTAGTCTAAACCTTCATATAGGTGGCTTAAAGGGCCACCCTGTCACCCAGTGATGAAAGCCACTGGTTTTGGCGGGAAATTCTCAATAGAAATGTAAACAAATATACCCTGCTGGAATGTGGCGTATTCTTTGACTACTCATTTACTGGTTTGCTTAGCAAAATCGATGCCCGTGCACTGAGTGGGATCAAACAATGTGGAGTGGTACCGCACAAACAGCCCAACAATTACCGAACAAAAGAGAACTGCAATTTTTCTGCTCCATAATGACTCCTTATTGAAGTTGGTGAGGAATGTGTAAAAGTCATCGACTTGTTGCTACAGAATGGAGAATTTTGATGAGTTTTGCTTCAACAGAACTTAAAATCTTAATTATCCTTTTTACCTTTTCTATGGTCTTGACAGGTCTTTAAAAGTAAATCTATACCCTACACTTTCTTATGTAAGCCAAATTATATTATTTATCAATAAACAGATGGGATATAGGTAGAAAAGCTGGGTGATTGCAGAGCAGACGTGTCACTCCCCTTTTGCCCTCTCTGACCTGTCTGAGTCTACAAACCATCCCTAATCCTTCGGTCAACTCTTTGAAGTCAAGTAGATTAGATGCTGCCTTCAATGACGCTCATACATTTTCCATCTTGACCCATTTTGTGGATCTTGCCTTAAAAAGGGGACAAGTTAACTTCTTGGCATGTGTGTCATGCTTGTAATAGGAAAAAAAGGGGTATTAGGTGACATATTGTAATAAAAAACATCCTACTTCACAGGTTCCACTGGTTTGTAAAGGCAGGTATCAGGGGGACCCATCCCACATTCCGGATGTTGACATGCTTGTTTAAAGATAAAGATGCTATCGCATTAAGTAGGGTATAGGGGAGATAAATGTATGAGAAAATTGCTTAATGGCCATAGGGATGCCCCTTCCAAGAATCGTAAAATGGTTGCTCTGTGCTCTATGACAGTATATTCTTTTTCCCTGATATAATGAAAAGGACTGAATTTTGGCCCAACTTAACATATGAAAGCTGGCAATGTTGTAACCAAGCTGCTGTCTTCTGGATCAATTATAGCTTATTATTATTATTTTTTATAATTTACTATTGAAACAATGTTTAAACAAAAAGATGAACAAAATTAGAATCATAATAAGTTAGTTAATAACTAAAAATGATAACCAATGGATTCGGTACCAATCCACTAAAATTTGTACATTTTAGCCAGTAATTAGTTATACCGTGAAAGGAAAGTTATATTACAAATTATACAGTTTTTAATATACTAAAATATGTTTGATCCTGAATTAAACAAAACATTTGCAAAAGTAAGTAATGCCATCGCTTAAAACAAGATCGTGTTCTCAATATCATCAATTGTTAAATTATTTCCGTCTCCCTTCTCTCGTTCTCACTCTCTCTCCCTCCCCTCTCTCTCTCTCTGTCTGTCTCTCTCTCTGAGCACGTGACTCGGTGCATTCTGGGTAAACATGGCTGCCGCCATGCAAAGGCTCCCAGTTGTAGTAGTTTTAGGTGCCACCGGCAGTGGAAAGTCAAAGCTTGCAATTGATTTAGCAAAGAGGTTCAGCGGAGAAATAATCAGTGCCGATTCTATGCAGGTATAGTTTGCAATCATCGCCAATGTCGTGTAGAAAAGAGTTGTTGTATTTTAGGACAGAGAAAATGGCGGGGAAGTAGCACGTGCTCCGTGGGTTTTGTTTGTTTTTTCTTAAATTTTTGCAAATATAGTTAATACATTCATTGTAAATAGTATGTAATTACTTATTTTTTTGCTATATGCGATCATTTGAAGGCATGCTAGGCGTTCTAAGATGTCTAAGAGATGAAATATGCGAAGTTGATTTGCCAGGTGATGACAACACCGAGAAAAGTAATATAATTAACATCGTATTTCAATAAGTCATTTATGTAGAAATATTGTATTCTAGAAAACTGTATGTTAAATATATTTCTATATTTGAAAATTGAATTATTGGGCATTTAAGATTTGCATTTTTCACTAACTTTCACGCTGTAAGAAGGGTATGACATACTTCAGTAATTTGCATCATTCAAGTAATTTGGTTGTAGTTTGATAATGATGACAGCTTCGTTTATCTAGCCTTATTGTAATGATTACACTCTGCTTTCCATTATCAACAAAATATCACACATAGAGAGCAACTTTGTAATGCATTAGATTGGAACTTTTACAAAACAAATATCCCAGTTTGGTAATACGGTTTGCTAGTTAATAGCCATTCTCTTGGACTCCTATTTGTATTTTTTATTTATGTTCTATTTTGCTGCTGTACAAGTAAAATGATGTTTGATTGCCATGTCATCACACTGATATCCCTGCTACCTGTGTCCATTTATAAGGCTTCATTCACATGCAATGTCTATTTTCTAAATTCTATTTTCTATTTGCGGTATGTCTTATGATCACGGTCTGTGGCCTGAATATCCCGCGGCGTAATTACTGGCAGCGCGAGCCAGTTACTATAAGTTACTATAAGTAACTGGCTCGCGCTGCCAGTAATTACGCGGCGGGATATTCAGGGCACAGACCGTGATCATAAGATAGCGCAAATAGAAAATAGAAATTAGAAAATAGATATTGCATGTGAACGAAGCCTTACTTCAGTAAAACACCAATCCCTTAAGGCATGTAAGGCACTTTATATCTTGAAGTACTCCTTTACTCGATCTGTTTTCATTACATATTCCAAAGCAGCAATCTTATCACTCAAAAACCAAATATCATATTGTGAATAACAAGTCTTTTCTTTTTACTAGTATGTGGTATTGTGAGGGGAGTCTAGAGAGTGATCACAGGGGTGGAATTATCATTGGGACCATTCAGATCGAGAAGAGCCGAATGCTAGCTAGGCTGTGACCTAAATATGGCTGACCTACATCAATGGAAGACTGCCTAATCCTATAATGGTCTCTCTGCCTCTCACACGGCTCCCCAGGCGTCGTCCCTGCAGGAGCACAGTAATTAAATCTCGACTCAATTCAATTGGTCGAAATTAGACGCGTGGGGAGGCGTGTGAGAGGCGGAGAGACCATTATGGGATTAGGCGGTCTTCCTTTGATGTAGGTCAGCCATATTTAGGTCACGGCCTAGCTAGCACACGGCTCTTCTTGAACAGAATGGGACATTAAAAGACTGTAGTATACGTAAGTATTTTTCTTCATTTCCTTCGTTGCAGGTATACAAAGGATTGGATATAATTACCAACAAAGTTTCTGAAGAAGAACAGGAGATCTGTCCCCATCACATGATAGGATATGTGGATCCATTACAGCTCCGGTACAAAGTGACCGACTTCAGGAACAAGGCATTACCTATTGTATCCTTTGACTGATCAGATTTACCACCAGCATAGAAGACTTGAAACTCTCTGATTGGGAACCATACCGGATTGCCCAAAGTCTTGCCATGTAACAAAATCAAGCAAGATTTTGTAGAATTTGGAGGAGAAGAGTGAGATCAGAAATAATGGTAAACTAGCAGTTGCTCTGCAACAATGAATAAATTCTCTTAGATCTTTATCCATGGGTATTTTTCTGGTTAATTTTTCTCAAATTATGGCCTTTAGCCCAACAGTACAAAGTTACCATGATTTAGGTATCAGTTATGTATTGCTTTCTAAGAGGAAATTCCTGGTGTATAGAGTTTCAAGCCTTATCAATCACTGAAAAGTTAACCTGACCTTAGAAATACGAAATTATCTAGCCTTGTATGACATCACACAGTGCGAATGATCTTAACTTTCTTACATGATTTTCTTTGTCAGGATATTTGTGTTTTTTAAAGAAAAAACATATAAATAAAGACATTTACAGTGGCAGAGGAAGTTCCTCGGTGAGGCATGGTCTGTGTTAGTATTACCCCTGGTTTCATTGTGATAAAATGGAATAAAAAAAGTAGATATTGCTTCCTAAGAAAAGATTGCCAGGGTTTTTGTGAATATTGGATTGCTGTGCATTATGTGAATAATGCATGTTAGTCTTTTCCCCCATGATTGTGCCTGCTACTGCAGCTACTTCATTATTTATAAATGTAAAAGCATTAGGAAACGTGCTAAGAATGAATCCATATTCCTCTTTCCTTGTTGTTAAAAAGTAAAAAGTTAGCTTTGAAAAATTCATCTGAGATTTTAGTTAGCACCCAGCTTAAGTTTATTGAAAAAATGTGTGCTGTCATGAATCATTTTCAAAATGTTACCCCAAGCTGTCTGAAATTTACTTAAAGTTAAGTCCTCAAAATTAAATTACACCAGGATAAATGGTTTTGGTCTTTATGAAAAGTAGAATATTTCATAACTGTGCATGCATGCACACACATGCATGTGCATGTACGTGCACGAGACTGGTAAATGCCCAGGTCTGTGCTAGTGTACTGGGAAGCCACACGTGCTGAGCACACGTGCCTTCACTTTGCCTGCATTCCTGTCTCCGTCTCCTTTCTTTTTTTGTAAATGAATTAGCAGTGATATCCCAGGGGTCCCTGAGCACAAGATGCCGATCATAAGATCAATAAAGTCTGGGTTAGAAGAGAGCAGGTTATGTTGCTCAGCTGACTAGTCATAGCATCAGCAGCTCGGCTGATGGCTGTCAAATTATCATAATTGCTCATTTTCATGATTTTTGGTATTATATATATTAGAACTACAAATATAAGAAATTGGCTTTTAGCTGATATTAGATGCGTTGATTTTCACCGTTTTTCTTATAATTTTTGAGAGGCATTGTTAGGTGTGGTGATAAATGTTTTTTTTTATGCATAAGATAATCATTTGAAGCAAATTGTTCTTTCTGGGAATATGAAGCACTTTTTCTGAAACAACTAATAATTTTTATCATTTACCCTATTGATTATCTGAACAATAGTTTCCATTCTTTGTCCTGTGTTCTCATTACTCTTTATAGACCATCCCATGGATGGTAGTTTGACCAATTACTTCA